TATTCCAAAATAAATTATCGAGATTGCATGTATTTTACTATTTTTATTCATAGTCAGCTTCTATTCTTAACTTGACGGTGAAAACACAACCTGTCAAAACATACTACTGGTTCAAGTTGTATATATTATATAATATAATTAATATGGGATTATATAACTCATAATGTTATCGACAGGACATGTATATGTCGATCCTTTTCCCCCCCGATCCTCGTATAGCACGTTTAACCTTTTTGCATACATACATGATATTATTGCATATAGTATTGATCAATTGATATTGATGCAATGTTCAAGCCATGTTCTGTTATATTTACACGGCAACACCCTGTAGAACATAGTTCTATCCTCCCTGCACCTTGCAGGACCGAAAGCCCATTGCTGCCCTCCCAGACACCAGCAAGGAGTTGCTGGACAAGGTTGACAAAACACTGGATGGCCTAAAAGCAGAAGAGGTTGAGAAAGAGTTTCTGAAGGCCTCTTTGCATAATTCTTATTTTTCTCGATTCTAGCACTGTAGACTTCGAGCTTGTGACGTTAATCATGCCCTGCAAAAAAATATGAGTGCATGATGGGCATTCATCCCAAAGATGAAGTTTTTTTGACATATTTGGGTTTATCCTGTTGTCTCTTGTTTCAAGACTCTTCCCATTTTTCCCATGAAGTGGCAGGCGCAAGCTGCATTGCGACAAATGCAAAAGGAAGGAGGACAGGAACATGAGGACCCTGACAGGCTGTATGCCGATGAGGCTGATGATGAGGGCAATCCAAAACCTCGTGGCCGAGGAAGAGGTAAAGGTAGGGGACGTGGAAGAGGGAGGTGTGGTACACCCAGACAACCCAACACGTCGCGTGGTGCTCCTAAAGGTGATGATGCCAAAGGGGAGAAGAAGAACAAAGATGGTGAGGCTCAGGAGGAGGATGCTCAAGCTGACATGGGTGACCAGGATGACAAAGAGAAAGATGAGACAACAGTAGATCAGACAGCTTCTGATAACAAAAGGCCCATCGTAGAATCAGGTCAAACCCCAAAGAGAAAAACACGAAGAGCTGGAGCAGGTTTCAAAAAGAGGTCAATGTCCAAAAGCCCTGCACACCCAAAGAAAAAGGTGAAAACGGGGAAGGCTGCAGAAGCACCAAACATGGATGAGGACTGTAAATGATCTTGCTATGTAATCTTATTTGATCCATGGCAGGTTCATGTTAACTATGAAAAATGAGCTTCTAGAATTCTACCTTCAAAATTGATTGCTCACATTGAACGATCTTTCCTGATATTCATTCGTTTCAGCCCAGTAAGACACAATTTAAAAGATATGTGTCCCCTTAATGACATACCAGGACCCGGACAAGAAAGAAAAGGAAGACAATGCTTCTGCTGAAGATGCTCCTGAAGCGTCTGCCCCAGCTTACCCTTTAGGTAAGCCCAGCGAGGGAAAACCTTCTAAGGAGGAAAAGCCGGAGAAAACAAACAAGCAAAGGGAGGATGAGATGAAGTCCGAAATGGTACGCCCGCTTCCGGAGGGTATGTTCCCATTGACATGTGAAACATGCACAACTTGATCATTTACAACTTGAGTGTGTCCTTCCAATTATGTAATTTCAATGCACACCTTGACATGCATATGGGGCACTAGTAGCCTTGGCTGTTCCAACGAAATTTATAATATATATTATATAATATATATTATATAATAATTTTTATTATATCATATCTCAGCCATTCCATGCATGTTTTCATTGAATCGTGCATGTTGTACTTTACATAGTATGGTTGTTGTTGCACAAGCTGAGTTCAATGATGTTGTGCATGGACAACAACCATTTTTTATTGATCATGTTTATCAAGTTGGAAGTAAACAACAGGACATGATAAACAAAACAAATGTACTCCATACGATGTGACCTACATTTAAAAAAAAAAACAATCTGTGGGCACTGTGGGTATCAAGAATCAACATCACACAGCTTGATCCAAAATACACATGTGTGGATATGTTCTTACATTGCGCTGGAAGGCTAGAGCAGCAAACTTGGCAGTCTTGCGTGCAAAAGTTCAAGATCCAGCTCTGCGTTACCCCCCAGATGATGAACTGTTGCACCAAAAGTACCATGCTCAGCTTGTCTGTTTACCTCACTGGTGCCACTAAACGATCCCAGGGTGAATGGTGCTTACATCAAACTATTTCAAAATCCTAATTTGATTTTTCAAACGATTGCAAGATTTGCAAGTATCGCCTGTTTTATCAAAATGTATTTTATATCATTTACATTCTTAAATATGTCCTTGACTGTCAATGCATACCAAATCTGAGTATCTGTCTGAACATATGATCAGTCTTCTGAATCGGTATGACATATGCTGGATCTACGACATGGCTTGCATACCTCATATATTGGTACACATACATCATGCATGGTATCAATCAGCACTTGTAGATATGTCATATTTAACACAAAAAAACTATCGTATATATTGTAAGGATCAGATCCTATATCATGTTTCCAAAAATCAACATTGATAAATCCAAGAGATCATGTGTTTCGACCCATGCATAAATAATTTATTATAATAATGATATATTATTATTAATCAGTCTGTGAAGAAAACGGGTCAAGATCATTGTGGTGCCGAGGTCCTGGACCTTGCTCCCTCCGGATGACGCTGTTATGGCCACTGCAGAGACTGCAACCCGGATTCAGATCCTGCTTGGGGCCCCAGCGCCGACCTTTCACTTTTCCACATGATGTCTCAAGTGAATCACACAAGTAGAATGCATATTATATTGATCTACATTTATAATTATAATATATATTAGATTATATATAATATATATTCTGTAATTATTGAATTTAATTGTTAAATACTACTACTGTGTGCATGCATGCATGATACATGAACAAAAATGCAGATAATATAAAATAATATAATATAATATATATAATTGATGAATTGGCACGTGTATTGAATATTTGCATGGAATTGTGTGCATGCATGCATGTTTGCATGTTTGACATGTGAGCCGGTGGCAAACCATGATAGGAACAATGGCCGATAGAATTACAATGATGATATGTCTTAATAAATAAATTAATTGTATATATATTTTATATCTGATATGCAGATCTGGGCTGGTAATTAAATATCATTTATATGACAAATGTATGCATGCATGATATATTAAACATGTTTTTGCAATTCCCTGATCCACATATTCTGGTTCTAGTTGGCATGATGATGTGCCGCCTAGGCTTTGTCAATCGCGTTCATACTGCGGCTCGTTCTATGTCAAGGATGTCCAGAAGGAAACGATCCAAGAGGTCATGAATGCAACCGGGATTACAGACCTACAGGCCTGGGGTGGTGACAGATTGACTTATCATATATATCGTATAGTGTGTGTGTGGCATGTATCATATGTGCACCAATCACCAATCATGTATTCATGATATTGTACATGCATGCATGCATGCATGCATGCATGCATATATGCCAAATTTACACATGCATCATACGAAATATTGCATGCATGCATGCATGCATGCATGCATGCATGTGTATCGTATATTGCATGCATGCATGGATGCATGCATGCATGTGTATCGTACATGTGTGCATGGTGTACGTCGTTGGTTTTCAACAAAGTACAAATGTACCAAATACTTGCATGTCAACATTTGATCCTTTTACAATCTCGGTGTGAGTACATGCAACCCACTTCGATCCAGTTGATTGCATATATATGACTTCCGAGTATGAAATACATGAGGTATTTTGATATTAAATTTCTTGGGTCATAATCAGTCATGAACCATCTTCACATGTTTGGTCTTGAAATCAGTACATCGGAATCCAGGCCAACAAGCAGAACGGAGTGAGCATTGGCTGGGGCAAACGTGGTGGACCAGAACTGGCGCCGGAGACCCAGGTTGCACATACACGCACAGTACCGCACACTGCATCTTTGGCAGTGGATCCCAGGGATGTTTCGAAGCCTAGCTTAGCTTCCTTCCATTTGTAAGGTCAAGACCATCAGATGCTAGCTCGACACATGTTAGAAACATTTATGATATCTTGAGGCCGCATTTCGTAATTTGAATTAATGACAGGAACTCACAATCTTCAGGTTTATTATCAGAATCATTATGGAATCTTACTTTTGTAACTGCATTCTGGACTGATTCAGATTGGTCATTCCATTGAATATTCCTCTCCTACTCCCCGAGGTGGAAACTTGCCAAGATGTTGGCCAAATGGTCTATGGCAACAAGCATGTCTGAACAGCAAGCGTGAGCCCAGGGATTTGATCATGTCGCAGTGATGATGATGCACTGCCAGATTTTGATTTTAGGATGGTAGCCCCATTGATTGGTATATATCGTGACCATCACAAGTGACAAAGTTTTAAATGCATTGATCGCATTGACAGCTGTAACAATGAAGATAGATATCACTGTGCCACATTTTAATATTTAATATTATAGTGATTAAGATGGATTGATACATCTGAAAACATCTCGGGGCAACCATTTCAGTTGGGATTCTGTCCATGGGGCATTAGCGTTGGTAACCTCGATCGACATAGACTGGAAGGGAGGCATGCCCAAAGGATCGAAATGATCTACTGTGATCTACTACGCTGAGATATCTGAAATCACCTAGATCTTAATAAGATCTTGTTTGTTCACATGATGTGCATGCCAGGAAGCCAGCAGTCCGGGGTGACAACAGATGCTGCGAACGGAGCCAAAAGGGAAATGACTACTGTGGGATACGTTTTTGGTTGAAGCAACCAGTAAATCAAGAATAATGGAAATATCTGAAGTGCATATTTTGAACATGTGACCATGTGCAGGGTTGAGTGTCGAGGACAAGCACCTTCCGACCACGATGTTGATAAGATGATCCTTTCAATTTACATTTCATTCAATCAATCAATTTTGTATGCACAATCGTGCACAGCTTGGGAAATGAAACTCCCTTGAAGCTTCATTCAATTCCCCATCGTATCCCGTCGAGTCTTTTGGCTCACAGTAAGCTGCCAGCAATCAGGAAGCGTCAGCCTCAGGATGCCTCAGCGGCGGGTGAGGCCACAATGGTCAATGAGCCCACTGGCGCTCTCGGGGAATGCGGCCAACTTGTTGATTGCTTGGGGACTTCCTTTGGTGTTGTTACTGGGTCGCAGTGGTGACAGTGGGGTGAACACATCAATTCATTCACTATGGTGGTGATGGGGCTTGCCATGTAGGGTGATGCGAAACCTAATCCAAGATTCGAAATATAATAAATTTATTAATGCTGATGCAAACCCAATCAAAGAATCACACCACACTTGCAAATCTACCCTGCTTACTGGGGAATTGCATACCCTATCAGGATCCATTCGCTCGACTACATTGCCCAGAGCATCTCAATTGCAGATGCCCATCGTGTCTGGATCTTGGATTCACAAAGCAAATGATGTTATATTGGCTCCAATTTCAGTACTATGGATATCGATGATAGATAGTTGTCTGTGAACCTGTGCGCATATTATGAATATAATATTGATCAATCCAGTGACTGTATCTGCACAGTATGCTTAATAATGAGCCATGTTTGCCATCTTCCCAGGACCTGGATGTCGTGGATGCCTTCTGTGGAGCTGCTGCAATATCTTCGAAATACAGTCCGGGACCCAGACTAGATAATGCATTCATTGAAAGGTCTAATTTTCAGCTTTCAGTAGTAGCTAGTAGTAAAAATATGAATTACCCAAGTAGATATAATATAATATAATTATAATATTATATAAAAATATATAATAAAATATATTATACACATGCGGGCAAAGCAATTAGATTGGATCTAAGTGGTGTAAAAAAGATGCATGGGTCAATGCTGGGAAGGCAATAATATGGATCCACATGGGGTAGAACTTGTGACCTTTGATGTTCACCCTGCAAATGCAAGTTCCTTAGATCATCCATGATTGACTTTAAATTATAGATTGTAGTTTCAGACCATGCACCTACCTACTTATGAACAAATGTCCCAACCTCTTCTCATCCAAGGAGAGGAAGGCTTCAGCGCGTTTGGTACTCAGCTACTGCCAACTCTTGGTTCAGTGTTGTTGCAATTGGGCAACCCATTTTCTCAGTCTTTTCGACTTTTGGTTTCTTATAATTATATATATTAGTATCGATATAAATTAATTATTGATTAATATATATTGTACGAGAATCGTCATGCATATATAACATTTTTATACTATACATTGCATGTATGGCACTTACAGCAGGCCTTACTTGTTATATATAATGTTGAATACGCATCACATATATTCCAAAATTCACATATTTCGATCCTAATATATATTATATATTATTAATTATATATATATATTATAAGTGTTATAATAAATTGATAATATAATATAATGATCATCACATAATTAATATAATATATATTATATTATATAGATAGGGTACCTGACATGTACATATAATGTTAACATGTTGTAGCATCATCAAGTATGTGAAAAATGAATTTGACACATGGAGCACACATATGCGCATAGATAGAGATTATATTTAAGATGAATCATGTGATGTGATTTAAATTTTGAAACATCGGCTCCCTCACAAACATGATTTGTGCCCAGGGAGAGCTTCGATGTGAACGATGGAGAGGATGGCGACATTTTGCATGTGCCCGGAGCCCAAACCGAACATCAGAATGATCATGGCAATTCTAATATTGTTTCAAATCCTGACCCTTACACATGTGAAGAACATGTCATCCAAACTGCAAACATAATCGATCAAATTACCAGAAAATGAACGATGCAAACCACACTGTTGCACGTGGATGGTTTGATCAAATTGAACTCATTACCCGTACTATGTTGATTGATCTCTATCAACTTTCTTAGTCCCCACAAGGTTTTGACCTGCTGCCACCCCCAAACACCAGTCAATGCAGCCAGCTTGCCCATCAGCAAGGCGTGGATGGTTCAACATCCTCCTGAAGGTGTTGCGTTTGAAGCCAGGAGGGTTGCTGGTGGGTGGACCGCCATGCGGGTCCTATGTGTGGATCAACCGTGCAACCAGCTGTCGGAGTCAAACGCGGTCCATGGGGGATTGCACCAAAGCCTATGTCCGCAATGCAAACACGTGTCTAGTCACAATAGTACAATTTGGATTTCTGAAGGTACCTATTCCAAAGAACATCGTGCATGTCTTTGAAAACAAGTTCTATTTTAGATCGGCCTACTTGGTTCTAATTAGTGTATATGCAATGTTGAGGTTATAACCATAGTTCCATCAAGACTATATATGATAAATTTTAATTGTTATTATATTTTTATATAACTATAAACTAAAGGAATCCCTGCCCTGGGTTCATATATCCAAATCCCCTGTATGACTAGTCAACATCACCACATAGATGAATGAATGAATGAATGTGTACTCATGCCAGGTAATGAATGTTATTGCCTGTTTGTGTTTCTACCATCTTGTGTTTCATATGTTGTAACGGTGCAATGTACATGTATAGTATAATATAGTAAATATAATATATATCATAGATTCATTGGACTAAATGATCAATTTTGGGTCAAGTCATATAATATATATAATATATATAATAATTAATATAATATATATATTATAAATATTATATATTATATATATAATATAAAATATATATAATATATATATATATATTATATTAATTAAATATTATAATAAAATAGATCGTCGTATTATTTGATCTGGTCTTCTGGCTATGGTACCTGGTTCCAGCTCAGGATCACAGTGCGCTGGATCATGCTGGGGTTGCTAGCAGCTGCTCGAGGATGCTACTTCATGACAGAACAACCTCGCTCTAGCTTAATGCCACTGATCCCATACTTCCGGTTTGCAGCCCTGGTATTGCGCCCAATCCATTGGGATCAAGTATCATTGCGGGGGCCTCAAATCTCTGCAAAGTGACCGTTTTGATTCTGCTGATCCCTTGTTAACAATGATGCACTCAGTGGATGCAATATTTTTAAAGAAATTCAAAAACTTACGTAATAATATAATATAAGTTGTAAGTAAAATCGATGTTTTATTTTACTATAAAAACTGAAATGGCAACAGTCAGTTGAATCAATTTGAAACATATACCATGAACATTCCTGTTTTATTAGTGAAACTTGTATCTTTGAAAGTATGTGAATGATTTGCTGAGTCCAATGGGCGCATATGGCAGTGTGACCCAAAAGCCGACCATTCTGTTTGGGACTGCGCCTAGCCCTCAGAACCCAGTCTCCCACTGCCCTTGACGCTGTTCTGTCCTCCAGACTCTGCAGAACCCAACCTCGGTCAGATTACGCCGAGGCCTTTTCTGGAGAAGTTCAAGAAAAAGATGACAAAACGAGACAAGGCACGTATCAAAAGGAACAAGCATACCAAGAAGGCGATGACTACCAAAGGTGTTAACAAGCGTGGTCATGTGACTGTGTGCCATGATTGCACTTGGCATACTCAAAAGTCGACTGGGCATATTCACAAGTCGAACACATGCACATCAATTTAGCATTCATTTATTTTAATTGATATATCATTATGGAATGTGCCAATTTGTATTGCATGGCTTGATTGCTGCCTGACATCAACATGTCATGCTAAGATGTTTTGAGACTTTAGTTCTGGGTTTGGGATCTCCCATCAACAATGTCATGTCATGCTTTGCCAAGGCAAGGTGGCCCTGGCATGAAAAAGAGTGCGGAGTACCCCAAACAGTTTGCCAAGAAAATCCTGGAGTTTCACAAGAAGGTGCTTTTGTGGTGGCTTTCGCCGTTATTGTTAGGGGATTGGCTTTCATCATATGATCCAAATATTATATATAATAAATATTACCGATATTATAATTATATTAATTATTATATAATATGTATATATATAATATATTAATATTATATAATATAATTATATTGTTTTTTTCTTCCAGGACTGGTTAATTTACTTATATATATAACGTGCATGAGTTGTATCCCTGGCCTGTCTCAGGTGATGGCTGATGGATCTCCTGCAGAGCGTCGCCACCTGACACAAAACGGCCCGGAGTACATCCCGAAGGTGATGCTGGGATGGATGGGTGTGGATACTATTTAAAAGAAAACACCCATGATCATCAGAACAGTTCGTTCAATATAAGCTATGCTACTATATTTACAAACTTGTTTTTGAACCTTTGATGCGTTCAGTTCCAACCCAACTTACGTAGGGCCTGATGTGGGGAATGTTCATAATTGATATTGTTTCACTGAATTGATCGAGATTGCAACATGTTCATTATCATTTTAGTTTCTGCAAGTACCATGGATCATTCAGGAATGCTAGCTTCAATGGTCAATGACACGGCAGGACTCACACACACAATATGCACTTGATCAGGTTGTGATAAAAATGAATGTGCTTCCACAGCATAGTAGTTCGGGCACGCACATATCAGTTTCGCATGTTTCATCTTGTTGATTCACATTGTCACATATAACATATATTATATCGATCTATGCACATGTCTAGTCGGAACATCATCTCATGTCAGACCAAAATGTCTAATTAACCTTGTTGCCAGGCAAATTTGTCTGCACCCTACCGCTGGCGCCATGCTCGGCTTGCTGAAGTACAATCTGTTCTCACAGAGTTGTGCAACCAAGGAGACTACTCTCCGCTTTTGACCAAGGGTTTGAACTCTGGTCAATACACATTTTAGGTGTATATTTCGGGGCATGGCTCTGCATCAAATGCACATCAAGAATGCGCTGTACAAATAATAATAAATATAATATAATCAATATAATATATTATATTAAAATAAATATATAATATATAATATATATATAATAATTAATATATATATTACGTATATTATATATGGTATATGGGATAAATAATTGAATAATAAAAATACCAAAAAATAATAGGTGCCAAACACACGCACTTTGGGGACATCGTTTTTATATATAACTTCATTTCAGACTCTCCCTTGACACTATAATAATAGAGGTCATAAATATTATATGATATATATTATATGTTATATTATATAATAATATATCTCGGTCTATATTAAGTAATATTATTTTACTAATTAATATATTGAGAATTATTATATTAATCGATATATATATATATTAATATAATTATTAAATTATTATATATTAATATTATATATATTAATTATAATTTTAATAGTATATTACGTATATATAATATATGTAAAACATATATATTAATTTATAATATTTATTTATTTATATTATATGTATTAATTATTGTATATTAATTGTTATTATTATTAAATATATAATAAAATATTTAATTAGTATTATATATATTATAAATATAATAATTAATAATATATTTTATATTATATATAATTATTATATTAATAGTAAAAATAATAATATAAATGACTGCATGTGTATCACATCAGATGCAATGTGCGCATGAAAGCGATGCGATGACCAGCCCTCAAATTCGTTCATAGAATCGGCTTTGATAGTGTTGCAGGTATGTGCACGAGTGTTCATGAGATTTCAATTCAGAAAGTGGTCAAATCATGAAATAATAGTGAAATCATTAACATTGTTTCACAATTGTGGTTAAACTCTCCTAATGAGATGTGCCTGCTCTAAACACTTGCTTCGATGATTGATACCCATCGACCCGTTGCACTGGTCTAGTCGCAACAGAGGACTAGTCAGATTCGGTGTGCGAAAAAAACCATGTGCTCATCAAAATCTATCGTGGGTAGGCATGTCACACCACAGGACTGTGCAACACTGACCAGTCTCTGCCGGGCCGGGGGGGAGCGTGAAACAGCGTGAAACTAGCGTGAACCTAGCGTGAACGACCATTAAATGCCGTGAACGACCATTAAATGGCGTGAACGACCTATACCCAAAAATCCCACTTTTTGGGTTGATTTTGTTTGGGGTGGAAAATCCAAAAAAACGTGAACCTTGCTGAATCAACACTGTAAGAACATGCAAGTGTGTCTGTGGGAAATGTATCTATAAACCGCAAAATAGGGTTCGAGATCAGATCCTACCCCACAGTGGCCGTTTGTGGGTCCTTTGGAGGGGGGCCATGGTTGACCATGACATGGTTCGCCGTATGCTCGACCAAGCAGCTACACGTGCCCAGAGGCACGCAGAGCTGGAGTCTGCAACTACAGTCATGGAACGGCTGCTAAATGTATCTCTTTCTCCGGAGATGCTCCCGTGGGGAAGTGCTTGCAGGTACTTAATACTATTCAGAAAAAAACATATCATCAACACATATTGTATATTGATCAAAGTTTTTGTTGGGGTAGCGAGTGAAGCTCAGCTTTCGTTTGAAAACTTGCATTATTTTGTTGTCACGCTGATCACACAGCTTTTTGAAACCACTTAAGATGCATCTATGCATTCATGTATGGTGTCATGATGATATAGTTATCTCATAAAACATTAACATTTAGTTCATGTAGCATATATATTAATTTTCAAGCAACTTTAGTAAAGATCAACGTCACAAGTGTATACCGGACACATGATAGTGCGATGAATATCACTAGACTACACGTGCAGTGCAATGTGAAGTTGGTAGGATGTGTAATCGATCAATCTATGCATGTCATGACTTATGTGCATATGATAAATAATAATATTATTTGCACGATGTTACACATGCACATTTTATTCATACCATATATGTCATGTCTAGCATATTGATCATTGTTGTTTGTTGCCAAAATCATAAAGGAAGTTCACAAACGCATGTATCTGCATGTGCACATATTTTGCAAAGTATTATGTGTTGACCTGATGTTTTGATTTATTATTCATTTTGGTATAGTACTGATATTTGTTGTCCTAATAATTAAGTTTATTACATTAAATTATGATAACTTCTATTCACACATGCATGTGTATGCATACCTTTATACGTTTTTACATACGTATTATATAATATATATATAATTAATATAAATTATTATACATATATAATATATATATATTCATGATATTATATATATATATATTATATATATTATATATTATATAATAATAAATAATAATTATTATTATTATTAATATTATATATCAATATTATATTATATATAATTAATATATATTATATCGAATATCTATATATGTTTTTATAATACAATATAATGTTACAATTCTAATAAACATATCATATATATATTTATTTATATATGTTAATATATTAAGTATCAATATTAATTAATTTAATATTAATTAATATATATTATTATATTATAATTAATAAATATTATAATATATCAATTTATATCAATTAATAATTATGATATATTAATATATATTATAATTATATATACTATATGAGATATTAATATACCCAATACAGATGGTCCTTCTCACCTTCCCCTGACAAGGTTGACCTCGGAGAGCACCAGCGCCGCAGATGCTCCTTCTGCAGATGCACGAGTGATGCCACGGCCTGCAGATGGATACTTGACAGGGATCATCATCCATGTCAGGTGTGGATCTGAACTTTTATCTGAACTAACCCATCACTGAATTCACGTGATGTGAAATAAGGATTAAATGTTTTATATTGCTTTTGAAAACATGGGTATGTAATTTTGTCCTGTTAATTTGATATATTGGATCCTGAAGTTATGTCGATCTTGAAAAGGGAATGGTCGTTATACATGCAACATGCAAAATTATTTCATATAATAGTTGGTGATGTTCTGAAATCCAACCAATTCCAAGGTTGCCTTCATATCGGCAGAAACCTGCTTCGGGTTCTCATCACATTTGTTTAGCACAGTTAGAATTGATGTGTTAATCCAATTAATACAATTCATTGAACCAATAAAAAACTGATTATATATTATATTACATATATATATAGTGCTACAGTGATTGGGCTTACTTGTTATTTTTTATGGTCAACCATGGGTCGTGTTTCTTTTACAGTTTTGGACTTGATTTTCTGGGCAGAGATCATGTCAAATTGCACCAATGACATAATGATTACAGGTGCTTCCTTTATTGATCCGGTTTGCTTATTCTAGCTAGCTGTGCATGTGTATGTGCCTGTGATCACACAAACGTAGAATGTGCATGCACTCATATACAAGTACATGTGTGCATGTATACTTTATACCATCATCATCATGATCACCATCGTGTCCCTGTGAGGTCAGGTACATCTGCACTGTGTACTTTATATGCAATATGTACACGTGATATGCAATATCATTATATATTATATTACATTTATTATACATGCTCATGTGCACCTCCATGATCTCATGATGATCTGTGATACTTGTGCATCGGTACCCAGGTGCAAACGGAAATGAGAAGACCATGGCAGCAGCAATGAACCATACCTATGGCATCCAAACCCCACCAGACAAGATCCGTAGGACAGGATCGGGTCCAGAGGCAGTTGTTTCCAGGGAGAAGGCATCGATGCCAACAAAAATGAAACGGGGTCTGGGGGTGAAGAAACAGAGGAAACATAAGACAAAGAAGGCAAAGGAATCACACGAGACTACAGAGATGCCAGAGCAACATGCTGATGAACGCCCTAACCAGCCGTTTGAAGCAGAAACCACCACGAGCATCCAACCCTGTGCACCAAACGCAGAACAAGGCACAGCCCCCACTGCTAGCACCCCTGTCGCTGGCACCTTAGCAGGTGCCAATGGACCAACACAGTTGGCACAAGGAAAACACGGAGATGCACCTGACCCGGACGACCACACAGAAGAGACTGCTGCACACAAAGCAACGGCTGCTAAGTCGAAGCCAGCACCACCTAGCACACAGCAAACAGTCAATGGTAATGTTGCAGGTCAGGCAACCCAGGTCAAGAAAGAGGAAGATCAGACCAAGGAAGAGGAGCCTGGGACCCCTGGGCCGCTCACTGCAGTCAGGGACCGGTATGCAGAAACGGCAGCTCGTGAGAACTTGAGGAGACCAGACACACACCAGCAGATGCCAAGCACACCCGCGACCCCCACACCAGCATCCCCTGCACCAGGGACCACAGCGGCCGCCCCACCATCAGCACAGACTGCGCAGCCCCCGCCCCCGCCCCCGCCCCCAGGCACACCTGCAGCATGTCCAGGGAATGCGGTTGCTGTCCAGAAAGGGGTCCCTGTGGCCGCTGGGGCCCCTGCAGATCCTGATGGAGGGGGGGGTGGCCCGCCGGGTGGTCCTAAGAGAAGAAGAGAGAAGACACCACAGGAGAAGGCCAACCATGCACGCTACATGAGGTTCACTCGTCACATCCAGAGTTCCTAGATTGCATTTAGTTGTTTGGGTCGGGTTGGGTCGGGTTTGCAAAATATAATATACATAATATATTATATAATAAAATTATAAATATATTATAAATTACATATTATATAATTAAAATATATAATAAATATATAAATATTATCAAATTAATATTATATGTTTAACTAACCTGCTATATATTATTATAGAATTTAAATATTTATATTTAACATATATAATAATATGCAATGATCATATTATTATATATATATATTGATCTATAACATTAGTATATATTATATATTATATATACTATATTTTGATTATATAAATAATTATTTATTTACTATTGTACACATGTGATATTTAATTTATATTTATATTATTATCAGACTAATATAAATTAACTATTATAAATATATCATTTCATATCTTATTTATATAATATATAAAATAAGTAGCTGCATTACACATGTACAGATAGCAATCAAATTATAAATATCAAGCAACTTAGTACTAAATAAAAAATGCAATCACTCTTTAATATGTGCACATGTATGCATCATGTGCAGTGTATCTCCCCTACATAAGTGATAAAGATATCACATAAAGTGTGCACATATACATATATTATACAAAGACTGAGACATGTGTAGCGAGTTACTTCGTATAAACTGCCAATTGTTTTTTTTAGCTTCGTATCGATATCTAAGAGGTATCTGTGTAGGACAGTTCCATGATAGCTTTTCATGAAAGCAACTAGGTTGTACATGTAAAATATCATGCTCATGTTTTGCTGTGCATGTGTATGTGCTCTATGTCGAGCATGAATAGTATACATAATATATAATATTATATTATAATTTATATATCTTTTGATGCACACATACCATCAGTTTGCTATATTATTTACATATATATATATACTGTCGTAATGTGTAGTTTAACTTTGCTTTGATTTGATTACATATAAAACACATTGTTTTCGAACGGACTGCATGCAATGTGATTCACAGTCAATGCCTAGTGTACATGAATATGGAGCATGCAATTGCAAACAAAGTATTTGTATTTGGATGGTAGCATCTCTTCTTGCTTCATTGACACTACTGCATTTTTTTTACGTGGGTATATGCTGCATGTCGTTTCTGCACAGGTGCAATTTCATAACAATTTGTACTTGAATGCGGAGGTAGTACACAACTTTGATTGATCTAATTTCGCATTGCTATAATATAATATGCTTTGTACTGTGATTTGAACATTGACTTATTGGCTGAATTGACCTGTCTGCATTGCCGAGACCACGCGCCACCAGAGATTCAGAAGGCCCACAAGAACGCAAAGTACTGTACCTTGGCTTACTTTATAATTTCACCTAGAAATCTTAGAAAGAGCTCTCAATCTCACCAAAAATCGAATCGACTTGACAAAATTGTGGTTAGTTGTCAATGTAGTCTATCTTTCTGCATTTGTCATACAACTTGTAGGAGAAAACATGCACAAAAAAATCAATCAAACATATTTGTACAATTTTGTACCCATACGACAATTTGGTTTGTTTTGACTGACCTTAACCTTGATAAACTGACAGCTGTCTTTTACGATCTATAAGAATAACCACCAAAACGTGAGCCAATCCCTCTTGGAATTGAAGTTGATTTCCAATTATTATCTTAGCTCTCAAACTTCCAAGGCAGCGGGAGGCTGCAGATCCTGCTAGAAGAATGGATGGCGACAGCGGGAAACTGGAAAGAATCAAAGTTGTACCAGAACATCACCATGAGGAAACAGGAAAGGAAGCACGGTGCTCGCGTGTGGTTAACACGTCAGCAGTTAACCATCAAGTACCAATCTGAGGCAATCGCAGAGGAAATTGTGCAAACGAAGCTGGGTGACCCAGAGCTCTTCAAGACGCAGACGAAGATGCACCCAGATGCACCGACTTCGGAGGCTAGGTTAGATCTGGGTCAGTGGGACATCCTGTGTGGCACATTGCTGACACCACTTAAACAGACTAGACTGTTGCGCATCAGACATGAAATTGACTTAGAAAATTTTATGCGTGTGAAGCCACTGTATTTGTCAACATATGTTCACCAAACAGCCCAAACCCAATCAAGATGTGAAGACTGACATCACCACTACAGTTTTGAGATCTCCAATTTTGCTCAGTGTTCTCAAATGAGCGTTTTAACTAACATGTTATATAATATAATTATATTATATATGTGAATGATTTAACATATAGCCCGATAATCCAATAAATATAATATATATATATATTATTCAAAATATATATAATACATATAATTACTCTTATATAGTATTTAGCCTATGTGTTTTTTTCCTGCCTTGCAGGCTCTGCGGCTCTTCCTGGTCTGGGATTCCGAGGGGGTCTCGGAAAGTGAGGACACGGTGTTGGAAGAGATTTTCCAGTCAGTGGACGCGGAATCAGACAGCGAGGAGGACGAGAAAAAGGACAAAAAGGCTGGCAAGAAGGCACACAAAAAGAAAAGAAAGTCGTCAGAATCTGTGGATTCTGGCAACAGTTCGGCCATCAGTGTGTCTTCGGACAGTTCTAAGGCATGCCGGGGGATGTGACATGATTGCAGTTGTCGGTGTATCACGTTCCATGTCAATTTCCTGTGTTCCTTCATGCATTGAGCTTCTTACATCAAATCCATACTGCATGCATATGATCAACACAATGTTTTTCCATGTGCTCATATATTTTATATATATAATTTTATTATATTTTGTATAATTTAATTATATATATTATATATAGTGCACATCCATGCAAAGATATATTAAAAACAATATAATATGTATTATATATATATATACCATCCATACGTATGACAAATAAAGATGCATCTCTCTCAGATCACTTTATATGTATTAAAAAAAACAATGTTTCCCACAACTGATTGATTTCAATTGGTTCAATGGTGATCCAAGGTTCCCTCAACATATATGATGTATCCCAAATATGGTACACACCTATGTGATGGTGTGTCAGTTTTTTTAGTTCTGTAAGTTTGGATCCGGTAGGGAAAGAAGAAGAAGAAATCAAAGAAGGCAAAAGGTAAAAAGGAAAAGAAAGAAACCAAAGAACAAAGAGAGAAGCGGATGCTAAAGGAGAAGGAGAGGCATGAGAAGCAAGAAGCCCGAGAAAAAAGTAAGGCAGAGAAGGAAATCATATCGAAAGCCAAGAAGGCAAGGTGGGGTCACTAGCCCATCCTGGGGACTGCTGAGTATTCCCAGAGTGCACATATATAAGGTGTACATGCGTCGGTCATTTTGAACAAACTTTGGTGATTCTCAGACATCTGAAGAATATTGAAGAATCATATGTTCATGCAGTGTGCCATGCATGGGTCCCACAATACATGGAAAACCTGAGGACTATTTACATATTTGTCAACAATATATGGACTACTGATATTGAAATTACGGACTACATAAATGATGCTCCCCCTATGTTCCATTCTTGTTCAGGTTCTGAACAAGATCAACGACCGAGTTTCGTCAGCCTCGAAGAAGCAACATATCGTCAGCCAAATGTCGGGAAACCTCAGGGCATGCGGAATGGCCACAACAGTCTAGGGTATATGGCTTTCATTCGATATTCAACAGTTTATTTTATTCACAAACAATATGCCAAAGATTATGTTGATCATGGGTTCTCCCTAAAAACAGTAGTAATCAACACCCAGTCCAAATTTATGCAGCTAGCTGCAAATATTAAAGTTCCTAGTTCCTCACTGGTTACTTGTTACACCCAATGTTGTTCCTAGTGGACCGTTTCCAACAAACAGTGATGAAAACTCCTATAAACGAATGTTTTTACAATATCGGGAATCCAAAAAGTCAAAGCATGAACTGAATAAACACATAGCCATGATTTGGGTATCAATTCAGTACATGCTGTTGGCTCAAGGATTTCTTCACACGATCTCCGATGATGATTTCCATATATTTCCATGACCAATATAAGGGTACAGATTATGAGATAGGTACAGAGATCATTTCGTTGTGGGTTTCCCAGACATACCCTACCCTGGGACGCTGAACCAAACAAACCGTTCAAAAAATAGATTGCTGATTGTCAAATCAATCGTGTATAAATGATGCACATGGGCGCACGGATCACATGTCTATTGTTCTTCTTTATATGCATGCATGTATACCTGTATATCACCTCTGGATCTGTGTATGAATTGTTTTAAAGAATTTACATATATCATATAACATGCACACATCAGATAAAAAATACCGGAAATGCACATGTCAAACGCATTTGACATTACAGTTTAAATGTTACAATTACATGCCGTGTGCATATAACATAATTATATAATATGTCCCCTGCATTTTACATGATATTGGAAACATCCAAGCATCACCCAATTGATTTATGTATTTGTTGGAACATCAGGTTGCTCCTGTATATATTTTATATTAATTAAATATATATTATATTATATTATCATACTATTGTTTTTTTGGCACAGTTTGTTTCAAAGTTTTCAGTGGATGTTGTATTTTGATCTAACATGACATATATATGTCAGATGTCATATATCAGCTGTTTTAATAGCTGTTTCCAGTTTGTTTCGGTAGTCAGAACAGTTTTATCCTTAGGCCATCTTGTTTACACCGATGATAAACGACGCTGGTTTTACTTTATCACAAATAATTTACTTCCAGATTCCTTCATGGTTCATACTTTGTATTGATTGACTTAAGCAATTTAACATGGGGTACCTACTAGTATACTATTTAATTAACACCCCTCCAAGCTCTCCCATCCGCTTCAAGCTCCCGATGCCACGGTGTGATCTTGAGGCCTCATGCGCTGCGCAATGCGATCGAGGGGGAGTTGATGAATTTCAAAACCTGGTTGGTGGCTGCTCGAGATAACCTCCAGAGCCAGATCGATGATCAAGATGTAACTTAACAGAAATATTGAATAGCCAATCAAGTTAATCGATTGATAATATGTTCATCTAAATGATCTGATCAATGTATCGAAATTCGGACTCATTAAATAATAATCATGTATTGCATGCTGCAAAAAATCAAGATCTGAGATTAGACCAGGACCTTATATGGAAAACAACTTTTGGTTGTCTATCCCTGAGTATGTCTATCACATTCGCACTTTGTGACTTCTACATGCTGCCCCACTTAGGTAAGCCTATTGCCACAGATGGCCGCTGACGGAGACAAGCTTGACGACCAATTTAAAGATTTCTTGACCAGGGCAAATCTGAAATGATCCCTGGGTCATTGATTTTGAGGATTTACACCCAATCTTTTGAGCTTATCTAGCACTATGCCTGCATAGGTTTGCAGTGGAGGGAATACCATGATCCATAAACCTGAATGGCTTTATTGTTCAACAGCTTATTAATTGTTATAGTGTGTTTTTCCGATCCTGATCCCAAACATCTTTACTGTCCTTTACGTATGTTCACTAGTGTTCCATCTTTACATTGCTGTTTGCTATTTTTTTGCCTGGGTTGGAATCAACTGATCCTCCGTGGGAGTCAAGCAGGCAGGCATGGCCATGAGAGCAATTGCCAATTGGGTGATTCAAACTGGGAAGTGGCAGCCAAATTTGGCATCAAGATGACGTGATGGATCACGTGCGGAAAGGGCAGCAAAACACATATGTCCCAGGGATGCACACACTTCCAAAGTAAAAATGGTTGATTAATTACTACTATATATACTATATAAAATAAATTTATATAGATAAATATACCATTGAATCCATACGCCATATATGCACATGCATATCTAAATCATACATAAATCGATAGATCAGTCTAGATCGATCTGAAATTCGTATGATTATGAGTCTTTGAAATGTTCCAAATGGGAAGTTTACTTGGTACATATGCTGGTCAAACAAGTCTTGATCCCACGCAGGTGATGACACTGGTATGTCCAACATGTTGGAGAACGCCATTCACGAGGTCAGCAGTGGTGCACTTTGGCGGCAACAAAAATCGACATAGAATTGGAATCCTCTAACAACTTAATTTTTGATAGTATGGGTATTCTAGTATTTGGCTAGTCTAGTACCTACTATAATAGCATAGTATTTAATTTCACCATGGGTCACAAATAACATAGACCGTTTGACTATGAAAAAAATATCCCAATGTATGAGTTACATGTGCAATGTATTTTGGTTTTCCCAGCCATTCATGCGTGCATAAAACAGGAAAATGCATATAACATCATTATCATAAAATGTAAATATGAGTCATTTGTTGATCAAATCTATGTTCAGTGTTTCCATCCATTCCTGCCCGTGCACACGCTGAGGGATCGACTGCTGGCAAACAAATGCGGTCGCTGAAGGCCCACGTCGCAGCTCCTTGTGTGCATTTGTCATGTGGTATGGTCCTATGGTTGGTGAATGATAGTAATTATTTGGATATCCAACCTCCAAAAAAAACGATGACATTGCAATTCTACCAGCAGGTGTGGTTTTGACTCTGAAGTGTTGTATATTTCGAAAATGGATCCTAATCGGCCAATGGAAGGTAACCACCAATCCCCCGGGGAACTGATCGTATGGAAACATGATGTTTAGAATGGCCCTGCCTGGTTATGTAGTAATTACAGGGGTGATGTGCTCAGGACATGGCACTTGCATAGCATGTATGACTAGTAGGTCTTCTGGTGAAAGTACTGAAGGGGTTGGTCAAACTAGAGCTCTTATAGACCCTACTTCACTATCCCTTCTTGGATCATTGAAATTTGTTTTCTCCAAAATCAATCAATGATCAATAATGATAAGTACAACAAACAATATATTATGTTTAATTTTGACCAGTTTGGGAATTGGGTTTCCTCAGAGTCTTCGGTGACCCCCCAGGATTCATTGCATGTGTCCCACGGCACAACCAAGCGACTTGGTTCCATGTCTCGCTGGAATCACTCTCGGGATTGGTGGAGAGCATTGAGCTATGGACCAGTGACTTGGCCTTTGATCTATATAACTTATATTTGAGACTGGTTCATGTCCAATGAATATACCTCTATGACCAATCTATTCTTGCCCTTTCATTCAAATTTCCAACCGATGCCCAAACCAATTTCCACCTCCCTCTCTATTGTCATCACTACCCATGAGGGCCCACGGTTGCTATGATTACCTTTTTTTTTGCCAAGAACACTGAATCAAATCAGATTGAGGAGTACGCTACATGTGTATTACATGTGGCATGCGTATTACACCTACATGCATGAATGGTATCCATGATGTGTTTTCATACATGCACGCATGGATGTACCTCTATCACCATTGTGTATGCTATATGCACATGATATATGACAAAATAATTTAATGAATTCATGTGTTCATAATGTTGATATGTTTATAATGTTGTCTCTTTGCTGTACAGTTGTGTGACCATTTACAACTTTATCACTAAGTCTTGTTGTACAAATTGGATGATATGGTTTTTGTTTTTTAGATTTTATGACCTATCTAAGGCGATCCAATACATCAAACTTCCAATCAAATACACTGATCTGGATGATGGCATTGACAAATTCCGATTGGAACAATGGCCCATCATAGACCCTCATTCTATTGCTGACTTTCTCTTCGGCACTGCTGGCCTGACTATCCCAGCAGCAAGTTTGCGGGAGTTCTGGCTCCACAATGCTCAGTACGGAGAGGTTTGGGCACAAAATGTTCCCTTAGACACAGTCCCATTGGGTATCTACGGGGACAGTGCCCGTGTCAACACGAAGTTCGGGTCCACGAACTTGATTGGGATTTACTTCTCCTGCCCGCTCTGGAAACCCCAAAGTGTGCGTGCTAGCCGGTGGCTTGTCACAGTCATTGAGGATGACAAAACTTGGCACCATTATACCCTTCAGTGCATCCTGCGTCGGGTCACATGGAGCCTGAATTGCTTGATGGATGGACAGCACCCTGCCTGTGGTCCTTATGGTGAACAGTTGCCTCCAAAGCTGGCAGCACTTGCAGGAAAACCATTTCAGTTTAAGTGGAAGCTCGTTGAGATCCGGGGAGACTGGCAGTGGCACAAGCGCACCTTTCGCTTTCATCAATGCTCATGGAATGGTAAAAAGATTTGCTACTGGTGTGGCGCAATGTCACAGTCTGATGACCCTGGAGATCTCTACTGGAATTTTGAAACCAGCACTTGGGATGGACACAACTTTAATTTGGAGCAGTTCCTGGCTGAGCGCATACCTCCAACTGGTGTTTGTTTCTTGTCCTGACAGTTTTGTTTCCTTCTACACTTTGGCCCCGAACGATTTTTTTCAGCCAGTGCAGATCATTGACTTAATTTTCGCTGTTCTTACGAACAAGGCCCTTTCATTGGGCTTCGTGATTTCCATCCGAGTATGATCCGCTGGTGCTTGATGCACGTAGTTCACTTGGGGCTGCTCTTTGTTTGTAATGGGTCAGGGATGATTCTAGTCATTTTTTGGCAAGCTTTTCCGGTTTGAGTTATACTTGTTTGGTGTCTCCCTTGAGTATATCAATTGTGTACTTTATGCATGGTGGCATAGCAGCATGGCACAATTTGCAACGTCTCCTGCCAGGCCCAGTCCATCCATTTTACCAGTGTGAGTGGCTGGTGACACGGTCCCTGTTTGCCCCAAACTTCTTATGGAGCTAATGCAGTTGACATATGTTTGGCCCCAATGGACATCGCAACTATCTAAGGAATCTTTTGCTTCGCTTTGGCTGGTTTGGTGAGGATGCAGTCTCATTGCCAGTGAAATTGGCTAGGGCATACAAGAAGTTCAGGGAATGGACTGCTCTGAACAAGATTGAATGTTCCCAGCCACCTTTCACAGAGAAAATGGACACTTGATCAATATTTGTTCAAGTAATGTTTTGGATTCTTGTATGTTCTTTTGAGATGTCAGAAGTCTATGCAGACTGGCTGCAGTGAACCATCAACATTGCAAATTTAAATTGCAGGATACTGCCAGATTGTATACAGTTGATGTGTCATATTTTTTGTGTTCCATGGCCTTAGTCCAATCCCGCAAGATATGGTACCCCGAACCAGAAAAATTGTATTTCCTGCACATTGTGCGCGCTGAGTTGTTCAAGAAGAATTCCGACATTCTCTTTACAGCCAAAGCCTACAATGGCCAAGTGCTGTTGGAGTGGCTAGCCTTCGAAGTGCACTTGGCAAGCATGCATGAGGGCGCTGACACGTTTGACCCGCGGTTCCCTTTGATTTCTGCTGCATTGACTCTTAACTGCCAACCAGCAACATGCAGAGTTCTTCGCAGTCGATCTAGCAAGAAGAGAAAACATTGATCTGTAAGATGTTTGAACTATTTTTGTAGACTTGCTCACTGACACAGTGGCAATCAAACATAAAACCCTGGCCCTAGTTTAACAGAACTGTGAAAAGATGGGGTCTGGATTGCTTATAGGACATGTTTAGTGTACAAGTACAACATGTGTGTGAAATGTTTTTTGATGTGTGTTGAGCAAAAAATATGATGACCACGTATGGATTCCTTCGGTTGTATTTATTGATCTATGTATCTGCCTATCTATCCATTGTGTGATCTATATTACATATATATATATGTCATTCATGTCATAGTGTGAGAAATTTCACAATGAAATATACATAATACACGATTTTGGTATGTGCATGTGCCTGTATAGCATGGTTCTGTTTTATATCCATCCATGCATGCATGCATAAATCTAAAAACAGCTCTGTGTATCCTAGCTTACACTCCACCCCACCCTTGGTGCACATTGTCTGCGGCTCCTGATGCGCCCAGGAAACACATGGCGAGATTCCTTGGTCTTCTTGAACGTGCTGGTCGATATCTGAAACTTGGACCGTGGCCATGTGGCCCCATTTGGGGTGGATCAAAATATGAATTCACATATGAAAACTAGATCTCATAGGTCAAGTGAAAACATGATCTCATATATATTATATATATTATATATGAAGAACAAAAAAAGGATACCCTTCATATCCTTCATATTTACTCAAGGATCCAATGTGCATATGACTTGTCAAGGCTTTACTGTTGTGTGTTTCATGTACGGCATGTTCATTTAATGAATATGAAGTCCTGAACATGATGTTTAGATATGTTTAGATTCCCCATCTCTCATGGTGTAAAAATTAACTAGGGAAAATTGATGTCTTACGTAGCCAATCACAATACTTTTCTGTGATAGTATGTTCACTGGCTATGTCGATGATCAAACATTATTGATGAACGGTTGTTCTACTTGTTTGATGGTCTACATCAATTCTAATTAAATTATAATTATATATTATTATATATAACCCATGCTATACTTGCATATTTTTTTTTTATAAATGAGATTGTATATATTATTATTATTTTTTTATTATTATTATTATTATTATATATTCCCTGACCTTCCAAAGACATTTAATTACGTAACTATATAATAACCAATATAATTATATTTTATATATATACCCTGACCTTCCAACATGCTATGGCATCCGGCCAAAGTTGGGCATCGACTTCGATCCTAGGACGGATGATGAGTCCAGTGCAATTTTCTTGGAAGGGAGCCGCTTCTTGAGGACTTACAAAGGTCTCACCCAAATGTCTTTAAGGCAGGAACACTTTCCGAATTCCAAGAGAACAACTTAATGACACACAATAATTTTGTTCTTTGTTTGGCTCATTTGAATTCCAGTGGCCCTTTGTGTCACTACTAGTGTTTGGCGACCATTCGCATGACCAGGCTTGGGATACAAGAATGGTTTCTTCGACCGAAGTGCCATGCAACTATGATGGCAAATCAAATGGAATACTTGGAACCTGCATGTCACTATTTGTTCATGATGGTTCCCATTGCCAAAGCTCTAACATTGTTCTTCTTTCTTCACAACTCAGGCACTGTGGCATGTCCTGGTCTGTGTCCGTGATCGAAGAAACTAGCCTTGAGATTAAAATCGTCTTGAAAGAACATGTCACAACCCAACCGAATCATGAATTCATTCAGCACCCTGCGGCCCGAAGCTGTCCAAACAGCTAAGGATCAAACCCCAGATTTTTCCACGGCTTCGTGGATGAAGATGGCATGGCTTGGATAAAAGGTTGCTCGGTTGCATGATATTAATATAATTGAAATATATAATATTATTATTTATTATTTATATAATTTATATATGTTTATTTCTTATTAATTATATTGCCAAACATATATCAGATAACCCCCCCTGGGTGCGCCAACCTTACGTAAGACATTGGTGACATGATGATTGTTTTGCTGTCCAGTTGAATGGCAAAGATCAAATGCAAACAAACATTTTGTCCGAGAAGGGTTTGCTGAGGAGTTTATTTGAGAGCACATCCTACTCGTGCAATTCGATGGATCATTCGGTGCGGTCGACTCAGGACACCAACATTTGTAATATGTCTTGTGCATCTGCCACGGTAAAGATATGATTTTTCTTTTTCATCCCGGGTCGTATTTACCAAGTGGCCTGCAGGATTTGGTCAACGCATCTCAAAATCAAAAAGCAACTTGGTGTGAACATGGTGATTTTAAATGGTAAAAACCATCTTAGCAATCAGGTCGATCAATTTGATCAATGTTCAATGCTGATTTGTGAGATTTTTCTGTTTGATCATCCAACATTTTTTTCCTGAGCCTGAGTAAGGTTCAACCACGAGGTCAAGCTTCGATTGAAGCGAACGCGTGGATGATCACACTAGAGCTTGGGGAGCTTGGGGACAAAAGTGGCGCACCCTGGGGGAGGGGGGAGAGTGGGCAGGGGGTCTGACGAACAAAGGTTGTTCTACTAACGGCCTTTGTTTTCAATGTCTTTGGAAGGTCAGGGTATATATATATATGTATGTCATCATGCTTTCGGAATTTTCATATTCAAGTGAAGAGCGGTTCTTGAGTGTTTTGGGAATATTTCTCTTTATGTGGTCCCACATGCGATCACACTGTTGTGTGCCGGCTTTCCTCACCTTATGTTTTTTCTGATTTTGTTGGTGAACTAGGACTGCGTATGCTTCACCTGAAAGAATTTAATCTTCTTCGTGTGCTTCGTCAACTTTGCAGCTGCCTTATACGCATTGGCGCCATCGGTGAAGCCAGTGGTGCCACATCTTGCCGTAGAGCTCACGCAAGAGAGAATTTTGGATTTAGGCATTAAGTGTGCGTGTGTGTGTGCAAATGCTAGTGAAGACATCTGTAGCGTAACATCAAGTACATGTGCAACTGCAAGGGAAGACATCTTTAGCGTAAGTACATGTGCAAGTGCAAGAAGAGACATCTGTAGGGTAGCATGAAGTAGATGTGCAAGTGCAAGAAGAAACATCTGTAGCGTAGCATTAAGTGTGTGTGTGTGTGCAAGTGCTAGTGAAGACATCTGTAGCGTAACATCAAGTACATGTGCAAGCGCAAATGAAGACATCTGTAGCGTAACATCTGTAGCGTAGCATTTTGTAGGTGTGCAAGTATACATGAATGTTATATTTTGCCCCACCCCACCCCACCACCACACGCGCACGCCATCCACGAGGCACTGTCACCTCAAACTTGACGTCTTTTCTTCTTAGATTTTGTGCTGGGGTTCCTGGTCACATACCAAAAGTGAGCACCAAGGTTTGTCAGAAGCAGCGGAGCTACTGGCACCCAATGTCAAACAAACCACACCTCAATCTCAGCACGTTGCGAAGCCTCTCCAATTATGATTCTGGCCAGCTAACTAGCCAGCACAACACTGATACAGAGGAAGCCAAACTGAGTAAACTATGGTACTAGGTTGTTCCGAATCAACGATTCTACCTCCTTGTCATCATTGGCAGCCGGCACCTTCGGTTCTGCCAGTCTGAGGAGATCTTGCAACCTGCCATTTAGAAATGTGTGTGTTGAACACGACGCTTTCTGGAGCATGAAGTGCCCTATGCGCACTGGCTAGACTTGATTCAAACCTTGGATTCCTGAGCAAATTCAGCAATGGACAGGGCTTAGACAATAGTTAAAGGGAAATCGACATGACAGAGTTAAGAATCTCAAAACGCTTCATCAAGTGAGAGAACAGAAATGGTGAAAAATACATGGTCTGCATTTTCTCTGCCGATTGGTTCAGCGGCCTTCTCGAAAGTGCTGCAAAAAGCACTGCGTCCGCATACTGAGAGGCAGAAAAGGCCCAGCAAGTATTGGATGCCTCTGCGATCTTGCAACGGACGCAGTTTGATCAGTTTGATTCAATTCCATTTCAGGGTGTTCTTCAATCTCAGGTGGCTTCCCCTCTGTTTGTAACAGTTTGAAGCTAGGAAGAGCCGATCGCACTGTAATTTGCATTTGCGTTGTGTTGTGTTTGGAGATGTTCGACCCGCAATGTTCCTTTTCCATGGTATATTGAACGGCTTTTCAGAGCTAGAACTTGTCATGTGCCTGATATCTGAAACATTTTGGAATAAGACTCTTGCTTTTTTCCGCTATTTGGGGAGGTTGTATGTTGTTGTCCTTTGTACAAGAATTGTACAAGTATCTGCTGTGGTTCTTTTCCCCAATCTGCCTTGACCTTGTCTTGTTGATCCTCTTCCCGCCATTGTTGCTAGATAAAAACACAGAAAACAAAAAATGACCCTCTCTTGCAAAATTATCTGCCCAGCAGTAGAGCATTATACTGAGCTGGCTGCTTCTTGCAAAGGCATGTCAACTATCTTCAGCACCTTGCACCAAAGACCAGGTCGTTATTTGATCATGTGGGCCGGAACACTTGATGCTTCAATGGAATTTGCAAGCTTTCCTCCAGGTACAGGCGTCGCCTGCTTTCCGAGCACACATGCGAAAGGAGCGGTTGTAGTTGAAGTTGAAGCGAAGGCCCAAGATAGATTTGACAGACCCTGAGCCTGGAGAGTTTGAAGCTGTCATAGTGTCACATTGCTAGACTCTGCTAGCTACAATGGGGTACAGCATGGTACAACACAGGCTGCAAGAGCCATACAGTGTCAACTGTACCCACGGCTTATCGACGGCAGTGGGAAGCCGACGCTAAACTCGCTCATCCTGTTCAGAGCCGTCCGTTCAATCATTGAGAGCATCCGTCTAGCAGTAGGCCTCAGGACTTCCCAAAACTGACAAATTTTGCACAAGCATCTGCAGGTGCAATTCAAGGCTCATATCAGCAGTGTCATGCTGCACAAATGCATCACTTTCGTTAGTAGCAGGCACAGTATATAGATATCAACGTCAAATTTTCTTCAAATCACTCCCTGAACACTGCACATTCTTAGGTCCAAAATTTAGTAAGCAGCACACAAATATGAGGACAAGGGAACACAAGGGTCATGATAGTGCTCTGATACCGACGCTTTGACAACGAGAGCGATCACAATTCAATAGGCCGACGAAACAGAAGTCTTGGTGCAAATCATTAGCGGAAGTTGGCATCAGCTACTGGAGAAAGCACACCCCACTGAAGAAAAGCATGCCCTTGAAAGCACGGAAAAGCAAATGTCAACACAGGCAAAGCAGTTCTTGGAAAAACAATGCCTAAATAACAGGTGGCTATGGCAATGCTTTGTGAGCTACTCAATGATTGCTGCTCCTTTAATGTCATGTTGTCCTTGTGAGGGTACTTGACTGCAGGCTGTATCAGGACAACAAAGTTAGGAGATGTGTTAGGAAATGCTAAGAACTCACAGAGTCTGCGACAAACCAAGTTTGTTTTTTATGTTTTGAGGCAAGTGGCGGGATAGAACTCTGCAAGGATGTCGCGCAGCACCAGGCAAGGATTGAAATGGCCTGATGCGTTTTTTGCAAGACTGACCGTTGAACGACAACAGTATATGAACAGGGCATTTCTTTTTGTCACGATGTTGCATGCAAGAGGCGAGTCTGTTTGTTTGAAGTTTGCCAATGCTGTGAAGTTTACACATTTTGTTTCCATGTTTTACAAAGTGTCTGCTGCATGCAAGTATGCTGAAAAAAACGTCGCAAGTGCGAAACGAAACATCAACCAAGCAAAGTTTCTGCAAGGGTTCCCAGGGCCGCGTGTTTTTTCTATTTGGCTAATCTAGCCGCGCAGCCCCTTAGAACACGTGACCATGCATCCGGCCTTTGGAGTAAACTCTGATAGACCTCTCTTCTGGATTTCTTGCACTGTTTCCTGCCGAAACAGGTGTGAAGGGGATGAAAAATGCAACGCTGCAATGAACCATCAAGGATCTTACGGCTAAAAATCTATGCCAAGTACAGACTTCAGCCTCCAGTCCAGCAGACGAACTCGAAATTGCAAAAGCCCAAGACAGGTTCGTAATGCCTGTGACATCCACGCAAAATTCTCGGAACCCACGGATTCAAATTTTGAGTCTGAAAAGCCTTACGACGTCTTTCCCGCCAAACAAATCCAAACAATGCTTTCAACAGATCAGGCCTTGCGAAGAGAATTGAGCGAGATCAGAACCCTGGGAAATGCGATTGACGGCTTCAACAAAGAAACCGTGGTCAGCCTTTAAACACCTGAGTCAGGCCGCAACTGAAGCAGCAAATTGTGGAAGGTCTGCCACTCCTTTTGTTTTTACATGTTTTTACCATTTTCTGTCTACCTTTGGCATTGCTTTGAATTGAAGAAATGGGAATTACTGCAAATAAAAATATTATATAGTAACTATATAATTACATAAATGTTGCTACAGTACAACTTTGCGTGGGCCTCGTCTTACACCACTCAGAGCCAGACTTTGCAAATGCCCAAACGACGTTTGACACATCTTGGGGAGAGCATTCCATGAGACTCCTCGTCGCCTACAGAACGAAACTCTAGCAAAGTCGCTGCTCGTACCACTTCTGCTCCAAAATGCGCTGAAGGAATGCTAATGATGCAGATGGTGATGATGGCGATGCTGGTGATGGTGATTATTTTCCGCCGACCCCTGCCGACAGCAGGGGGAGCGCGTCAGAGAAGCAATTACACGCAGCAAGTGCTGACGCAGCAAGTGTCGAAGTCTCGACGCAAAAGCAAAGATGTTTAGCAAGCAAAAGAAGAAGGGAAGAAGAAAGCACTCAAGCTGCACGAGCAAGAAGCAGCAAATAACAAGAAGAGGAAGAAGAAGGAAAAGGAGAAAA